CTGCAGCAAATATATCTTTGCTTCGGACATGGCAGATATTCCAGTAACAGGGAGAATACCACGGCGTGAAACGAGTTCACGGATAGCTGATGAATCTCACGCGCATCCCGCGAGAGAATTTTCTCCCTTCCGATCGCGACGTTTAAAAAATCGCAGCGAAAAACTCCTTCTATCGCGGGAGTTAGATCTATCGCAGTGACGTCGAATGCATCCTCGACACTCAGAGGGTTGTAACAACTTCCTACGTCCAATATCGATATTCTCCGCTCGTAAGACTTTACTAATTGATCTTCTATACGGATGTCTTTGCCTTCGGACGTACGATTCTCGTACGTATCGTTCAATTTTTTTAGAGTCATTTTTGCATTTATGTCCCATTCTCTCTTATCATACTTCTCTTTGCCACTGTTGAGAAAGTACTCCTTGCACTGGATTTTTATCCATTCCATCCTGCAATACGTTCCATTCTTCGAGTTATTGTCCGCCCAATACGTAGTGGCCAATTTCCGCATAGACATAGCGTAATTCTGAAATTGCAATAAGATACTATGTAAAATTTACTTCTCATGTCGATCTATAAAATTTACAATTATCTAATAAATGTTATAAAATTTAATTTTATATGCAGCGCACAAGCGAACCTGCAAAACGTCATTTCGCGCCATATGGCGCTCCCACGCGATTTCGGCGCCATATTGATGACACTCGGTGCGCAACAGAGCGTGAGTTTTCTTCACTATATCAGCTAAACGTTTATGCTCCTCCGTCGCCATTAGAGCACTCAGGACATGACTTTCTTTTTCAATATCGTCCACGTATTTTAATGGCCAATATTTCACAACTGTTTAATCCGTTCGATTACGCTTAATCAGAGCATCAACTGGCAACAGACTCACGTGTATTCATTATTCGAACCTGAGTGTAAATGTAGAAATTATCAAACGTCACATCCATAGACATAGTATATCTAGACCAAGCGTTTGCCTTTATTTAAGGAGTGGGGGCCGATGCCCACGTTGAAAAGGACATACTCTGTTTCGTGCCCCTTGCGTTCTCTCTCGCTCGCACAGAGCATAGCGCTCTCTTTCGTCATGCTACGTGCGAGCGAGAGAGAACGCAAGGGGCACGAAACAGAGTATGTCCTTTTC